TTGAAGCAACTTCCATGTGATTGGTTGATTAGATAATTGCATTAATGAGAAATTGAACAGTTGTTCCTAATAATCCTTTAGGTGAGTGTATATAGTAGAACATAGTTTTTTAATGGATGCAAAATAATTACTTATTCAAAAGAAGTACTTAGAGATTATGCAATTTCAGATGTAGCCACTGTCTTAATGAGGGAGTCATTGAATTATCAACATTGATTCATTCAGGAATTAAACACCAGTAGTGTGATTGATTTTGTGGTTAAGCACAAAATAACAGGCTATTTTGGGTCTATAATGTAAGTCAATATTGATTTCTTGTTGGCCAGCAGTCTTACTTATGTGATATTGCATAATTGTTTTATTATTAAAACTTTTTCAATGTGGTCTCAGACCTTTGGGCCCCACTGCATGAATTAATGGCTATCAAATGTGGCCACCACTTAGCAGTATGTGAATAAACAATAAAGAAGCCAAATGTAAAAAATCTCTCAAGAGAGCAAAAGGCAGTCAACAGATTTTCTGTGGTCTGTGCTTCTCCTTGTTTGTAAAAGACCCCTTAGCTAGAAATCTCCATAGTGATCCCAAAGGTTATTCGCTCTGCATTTGGCTCCCTCTCATCAGCTTTATACTGAGGGTCATACATCTAAAGCACCATCCCCTCCAAGAAAAAGAAACAAAAGGAGAGAAGACAGTGCTCTTAATGCTCACTCACAACACAAAGAAAGACAATTTGCAAAAAAAATGTTCCAAAGCCTAATATAAAAGACTTGCCTATTATTCACACATCATCTGTGAGTAATTTGAGAGGCAGCAAAACGAGAGCGCTTGTGCTCTGATCTTCTCTCGTTAAGACCTATAGTTCTCATTCACAACTTTCACAAGGAGAAAATAATGTTTGTTTGGATTGTAAATTCATAGCAGAAAACACAAACATTTATTTTTCCTTTTACCCCTTAAAAATTGAAATTGTGCACTTCCTGTAATGGAGATCCCCTGAATGCCTGCCGTAAAGTAAACCAGGCAATAGGGCTCTTGAAGAGCTCCATACTCAATTTGACAATTTAGATGCAACAACCTGACACTTTTGGTGTTTCCAGTTTTCAAAACAAGCGTCTTCAAGTCTAATGCAAAAAAAAAAAAAAATTCACAATCATATGTTTCAAATTACAGCTAAGACAATTATATATTCGTAATTTGTAAAAAATGGCAGAATTGAAATGATCAGCCTTCACATTCCACGTTGTCCAAAAAAAAAGAAAGAAAAGAATAATCAATCAAATAGAAATTATAGCACATGAGGGCACTGTCTAAAGAGCATAAGCGATACTGAAATGGCTTTATGACAGCTAACAGAACGAACAACAACAGCTGATGTTTATCACATTGCTGTACTAAAACAGTGTGAGAAACTCTCCACCCAGAATGCTTTGAGGCACATGTCTGCAAATCCTCTTTAACTGGCCTCCCCAGTTCCATACCCCTTCATTCTCTCTCCTTCCATCGCCACAAGGTACAGAGCTCACATTGTTATTAAACGGCCCTCCCTGCAGCCCTCCCTCTCGCTCCTACTTTTTTACAGTGGCGTGTTATTAAACTCAAGGGACCACCTGGTAAAATAAACAGGCAAATAAAAGGGGAGATGTAACAAAGCCCCGTTGCCTCCTCCGGCCCTGCCATGAAAATAAAGAAGCGTGTCCAGTTCTCCTCCCACCCGTCAGGCAGCTCCAGCTCGCGGGTCTTACTGAATTTCCTATGTCAAACCACAGTCGTATGCGCGCTCGTGTCATTCCTATAATTGAGAAAATGGCTTCTGGAGGAGCTGCCTGGAGTGAGTGGTGAGGAGCGTGAACTTTAGTGCAGTCACGAAAGAGTTTCACACATTCAAGACGTGTATCCGCCGGCTACAGATTCTCTCAGGCCTCGAGTAGAAACTTGGCAGAGGACGCAAAGCATGCGTGCAGAATGATGGCGTTGACGCACACGCTCATGCCCTCTTTGTGGCAGGGATATTGGCTTGACACACAATACTCTCCCAGATGCACTACAACTTGCTTCTGTGATAAGCGACGGAATACCACAGAGCAAATGAACTGGATGGACGGTCAGAGAGTCCAGGCTAACAGTAGCCTGCTTTTTTCACAGCTGGTTTTAATATCAGCTAAAATGACAGTCTGGGAGTAGGACTGACAGAATTGAAACCTGAAGAAAAAGCAAAACAGAACCCTTCTGGTGCTAAATGTGACATCCATCATTCTGTGTTTATTATATATTTTCCACTCATTTAACATGGAGCTCACATAAAAGATTGTGTAGAGTGAAAGATAGAGCTTGTTGTTGGATAAAGGTCTCAAGGGGTTAAATGGATCACACCACTTCTACTGACCACATACATATTTGTGTTTGACCTCAGGGAATCCTTAAAACCAAACAGAAGGAAAAAGAAAGGCGTTTAAGTTGAGGCAGCTGCTCTGTCACTCTTGTCGTTTCTTTAAAATCACCCACAATCATTAGTGGAGCTTTCTGTTTAGGTTTAGGCTGACCCTGGATCTGATCCATCCCTTCACACATAACAAGCAACAGAGACCTGAACTCACAGGTTAAATAGATTATTACAGCTAAGGTTTAGAAGATGGACAGTATTCAGACTGACTAAAGCAGAGCAAGTCACTAACATATTCAGTAAACATAACTAAAAATGCTAATACATTAACTTTTGGGTTGTGATTGTTGTTTTCTTGGAAATAAATAATGACACTATTTACAGTTCAAAAATGTGGGCCAGTAAGATTGATGGTGAGAAGACTAATTAATAACAGACTTTTAATTTTTGGGTGAATGCAGCACAACTGCTTTCAACACCAAGAAATGTTTCTTGAGCATTAAAAAGAAAAGTTATTTTAAAATTTAAATAGGTTAAAAGTTTACAATTTAAGGGATAAATTGTATTTTTGATCAAATGCAGCATGTAGAACTTTTTTTTTTCAAAAGCGTTAAAAAAATCGTGGCCCACCGACCTAAACTTTTGAACGTGTGGATGTTGTTTATTTTAGATTTAATTTAGATATTTAACGGCTAATTAGCTTATATAATGTATTCTGTCTTTCGCAACTGTAGCGGTATTATAATTGTGAGGCCCTGTCATTTTAAAAAGAAACAGACGCACACCACGAGAAATTCACTATAAAGCGATTTAAAGAGTTTGTGTGCTGGATTCAGTGCACGATCTGGACAATTCTTCTTCCTCTGCCAAAGTCAACTGGAAACCTGGAAATGTCTCAACAATAAGTCATGAAAGGACTTTTCAAAAACAGAAGGAACAATTTACTAAACGAGAAAATGTCTACAATAAATGAAGGGTCATTGCAATCATTAAAAATAGACGAATCCGACGAGCGTTCTTGTGTAGGCTGCCATCTTGTGGCGACGCCATTACTGAGCTGTTACACCGGCATAGACATATGCACCAGTATGTAAACAAACCTCGGAGATAAGGTGATAACGCACCCTTGATGACAGCTACAGCCAGGCAGACTTGTTGGGTTGATGATGTTAGACATTGGCCTCCAGTCACAGATACAAACGATCTTACAGATTATTTATGAAAATAGCTTGGCAAGCAAGCTAGGCTAACGTTTGCTACCGAGGAAACTAAAAAAAGATCTGTCCATTTGGCAACAATAAATAAATAAATGACATCAAATAAACAATTTCATGTTTTTCATTTGTGTCCATTATTTATCTCATTTTTACATTGCAACGGGCATGGGTAAGGTAACGTTACAGCTAGAAACTATACATAATATCGACCAACTACTGTTTTTAAACCATGGAAAGAAGTCAATATAACAGCAGGAGAACAATTATGTCACATAACGTTACATTCAGCTCAGGAAAGCCATTTAATGACCATAGCATATAAATTGAATAGAAAAAATAACAAGAGAGGAGATTTTGCTGATCACTATATCACACATTTATTATATTTTTTTACTTATGTCATTAAATAATTGTTATTATAAGCGAATGTCCGCGTCTTGTACTCGCCCAGGAAATCTGTGTAAACCGTACGGCTCCAGACAGGGGCAGTCGACCCGGGGTATTCACAGTGTTTTCTCTTCAAAATTGAAATTTTACTGCCACCATTAAAACTATTTATAACTGAAACTGTTTACCCACTCGACATTATACAAGGGCTAACGTTGTAACGTTAGTGACAGTCGTAAATCGCGAGCTGTTTATTCCAGTGGACGCAAGTTGCAACTAAAACAATAGAAGGCAATGGCGCAACGCTACCCAGCAACAGCTCAGTAATGGCGCCCGCTTACTTCCGGTAGTTTCGCCGGATTCGTCTATAGGAAAGAAATTTTATGGGTCACGTGACTGGGCCTGCTGTCGAACGGTCAGTGGAAATTGATGGTCATAATAAATAAAGCGATTTTCCAGAGTGAATACTAGCTATCATGTTTGTGCTGACCCATGTATTTAATCAATGTTTAATAGAATATGCTAATTGACTCAACACAAGACTTAGCGAATATTAAACCATGAGAGAGGCAGGCCAAAATCATGAGAAAATCACGCAGTAAAGGATAGATAACACGTCACATAACCAGACAGAGAACCGGAACCACATCGCCATCTAGTGGCTGAACCACAGCACAACATAAACACGGTGCTGCCGATTCATTTAAAAAGACGTGAGAAAGACATTCAACATAACGTGTTATTTTTCACAGAATGCACCACTAGACCCAGGGTACATAATAAAGTCTTTTGTATATAATACTGTTCTTGAAATGGTGTTAATAACAGTGATTCATTGTTGTTGCAGTTACATACATGATGTAACTGCAACACCAATACTATTATAGTAATATAGTGATTTCTGCAATATTGTTGGCCAGTAAGAAAAGGCAGGGGGATATATCATTTTTTAGTTGATACATCAATAAACATGCTAAATAAATAAAAACAATATTTTAAAATCCACAGGGACACAGTATTATTTGAAAGATTTTATTAATTTATAATACAAGATTTAGGGATTTTTTTTTACATGTAATAATTTGTAGCTAATTTTCATAGCAGTGACAATGATAAAACATTCTTGCAGTAATTGGCCAATAAAAGGAAGATTGGAGACAGTTTCTCTGAAACTCACTATCTTTCCCAAAAAAAATTTCCCATCCACTCGCACTCACTCTCTCTCACACACACACACACACACACACACTTAACACGAATCAGCCATCTGATGTGTACTAATAAAAACTCATACTCGGACAAGATAAAAAGGTCCCAATTATAACTCCATTATTAATAATATTAATTTCCCACAATCAAAAGGCAAACAAAACAGACGGCTTACAAACATTAGGAAATAAAACACTCAATTGTTCCTTTCTTCTGGCCCAGTGGGAGGCCATTAGGGCCGGCCATCCCAAACACACATTTTGACAAAATGCAACAATGTAGCAGGGGGTCCATGAATCCATAGTGCTTATAATGGAGGCTTTTAACAGCCCAGCCCTTAGCTCCAGACAGAGGCTTTCGGGTGATTTCCTTATTCTTTGCACCTGGACTGTGTCCCTCAGGACGCATTTTAGACAACTATGGGACAGGATACAGATGATATATCCTGACTGGGCAAGAAGAAGAGTTTGTCATCAAACACATGCTTCTTCAGCAGATACGAGGAAAAGAAGAGGGAAAAAAAAAAAAAAACTCCATTCAAGTAGACACAGGATGAATGGTTTTCAAAGGCGGCTGGTACACACCCAGGGCAAGGAAACACTAGACTAGGGTCATGCACAGATGTTGACGTAACTAGGTAGTAAGAGGAGTCTGGCGACTTTGAGATCCACTCTCAATTGGTCCAAGGACAAAGGCAAAAAACGCAGGTGGCCATAGCACAGTCAAATCCACCAGCGCTATATCAGACTCCCTCGGTCCACAGCAACAGACTGGTGCTTGTGTCATCACACCTCTCTCTCCGTAAGCTCCTTCTGTTTGAGGCAGGCAGGAGGATTAAGACTACAACACACACATAGTGACTTCAGATAAGGATCCGTGTTAAGTGCAAACAATAGTCTGTTATTATGACGCATGTTAAACTTCATCTGAGTCAGGCATGTAATGCCAAGTGAAAACTGACACTTGGGTGTTGGGAGAACAGAAGGTCTCTCAATTACAGGACGTCCTTCTGAAAACCTGTTCACACCTCAGTTTACATAATTTGCTTTCAATGATTCAGCTATTTCATATTTGTACACTTTAATATTTTCAGAGGAGGCAGCCTATAAACAAATGGCCACTTTACCAAGCAAAACTCAATTTTGGCAACCAAACGAAACGAGAAAACCAAACCATGGCAAACGTATGAGATTTGATAAACTTGGCACAAGAGAGTCTCCAGTTACTATAAGAGGCAAAAACACTGAACGAAAACCTAGTCGCACTGTCCCTGGAGCTGTTCTGTAATCTTGCAGAAAGCACCACGGGTTGGTGAGCAGAGACAGGAGTGAGGAGCAGAAGGACAGAAGGAGGTGGGGAAAGCTTTGTCTGGGTTTTACAGCAGTAGACAGCAGCTGCTCTCTGTAGTCTTCTCCCTGTTCCTCTGGCCTACGAGAAGAGAACAAATATTGATCGACACCTAATAAATCAAAGAATCACAGGTCGTCCTCTGAAACACTCTGCAGTTACAAGAATGCGAGGGAAAAGACTGTGATGACTCGACAGAAGAAAATAACTCGTTTTCTTCCTCGAATGACATGCTACGTGTAACTAGTCTATAATTAATGAGGGGTGGTATTAAAATCAACATAAACCCCATTCAGAGCACAGTTGCTTCGGTAATGTAATGAATTTCAGAGTGAAAGAGAATATTCAGTGAGAAATGAAAATACAGACTTGATTTTTTACATCAGGAATGGATTGGATCAAAGTGGGCGTTCTATACGAACCAGCCTCATATTCTGCTTCAAAAAGAAGCTGTTCGTTTGAACTTTCAATCAAATAATCCAGTAAAAAAAATGAATGCATCACGGTTTCCACAAAAATATAAAACACTGAATAATAGTTAGAAATATTTCTTGAAGAGCATAGAATGATTTCTGAACGATCATTTGCCTGAAGACAGGAGCAATGATGCAGAATTTTAAGCTTTTACATTACAGGAATAAATTACATTTTAAAATATGCATAAAGTTATTTGAAATTCTAGCTGTGTTTTGGATCATATAAACATAGCCTTGGTGAGTCGAATGGTGCTTTTACATTACCAGTACCAGCTCGACTCAGCTCGCTTTTCGCTTCCCATTGCAGACAGTACCGCCACAAATAGTACCCGGTCTTCATTGCGACGCCTTTCGTTCCTCGTTGCCCTATCAATCTCTCGCAGGATCCTCTCTTTGGCCACCAAACAAAGGAAAACTCTGCACTCTGCACCTCCTCGTTTGACCACGGAGTATTCTTCCGAATTGCCATAATAATAGTAGTAAGTTTAGTAACTATCTCTGGCCAAACTATTTAAAAATGGCAGGGATATGCACATGTAATGATGACGCAGTGAATGGTGACGATTGTCTCTGACCAATCAGCAGTCGGCATTGTTTTCACGTGACATTTTAGTATCGACTTAGCTCACCTTAGCTCGCTCAGAACCTCCCCGGAGGTGATACAAAAAAAAAACAACCTAAAAGTAGGAACAGGTACAACTTTTACACAGTGGAAAATCAAACAAAGGCGAGCCGAGTCGAGTCAAGCTGGTACTTTGTAGTGGAAAAGCGCCATAAGAGACTTCATTCAATATAATATAATAAATATATTAAATAATATAATATAATGGCTTATATAAAGTAATTATGGTTAATCCTGTTTTCATGTTGACTTTGCATAAAATCAAGGAAACTTAACCCCACAAAGACTGTGGGCAACAAATGGGCAATTTGTTCATGTTAACTTTATCTATTGTGAAGCGACAGTGTGAATGCTGGCTAAAACAAGTCTCTGCTCTGAAGCCAGACAATGTTTCTATTTTATATGATCAATAAATCAAACCATGCAACCTGCTTCCTCATTCCAAATATAATAATGACTAGTCATAGTGAACAAGAAGCTTGCTTCAAAGCCAGCACAACTTGTTAAACCGGAAGTACCGAGAAAGGAACAGACTTTACAGATCTTAAGATCTTAAGTTTTGACTCAGCATTGTGTGACTGGATAAAGTTACGTGTAAATACTGATGCCAGTTGCTACCTGGCATCAGTCCTCCAATTACTGCCATCTCCTTGTCCTTAAAACAAAAAGTGGATGTGGATGGGCAAGCCAAAGACATTCAGGAGCTAGCCAGAAGAAAATATCAGGACTTACCATGGGAGTTCGGCTCTGGCAGCGTCTCTCTGGCAACCAAATGCATGACAGTTGTTCGGCTAGGGGGCAACTTCAGCGCTATACAACAGAGAAGTGGCATTCTGAATATCTGCAAACAACTTGGCTACTTTGCCCAGTACAACCAGCTTCTGACCTCCAGCATATTTTAACATCCACTTTCACTGTCCTCACAATAATGTAGAGACAGACAAAGAGAGCGAAACAACAGGACTGTCAAGCCGTGTTGACCGTGACAGACACACAGACAAGGTCTAGTGCTCACCTCCTAGTGTGACATTGCCATGCAGGAAGCGGCCCTGGAAGATCAGCCTCAGGATGCTGGGGCTACTCACACTCTCCTCCTCCCAGCCTGCAATGCAAGTCATTACGGTCACTAATGAAACAGGCTTTCATGAAGTTTCACTATGTAAAAATGCTCAAGATCATAGTCGGACCGCATGTGGTCACGCATGTGAAATCCAGTGAAAGAAAATTAGCAATAAGAGAAGTATCTAATCCATATTCATCTATGACAGACACTACCATTCAAAAGTTAAGGTTTTTCATGTTTATCATGTGATGCAAAGCTGGATTTTCAGCATTAATTCCAGTCTTCAGGAATTAGGATTTCTTATCATCAATGTTCAACAGTTATAAGTTATGTTTAATATTTTGAGAAAAGATTATTTGATGAATAGAAAGTTCAAAACAGCATTTATTTGAAATAGAAACATCTTCAGTCACTTTCATTTAATATAATGAATCCTTTCTGAATAAACAGTCTTCATTTCATTAAAATAAAAAAATCTTACTGACCCCAAATTCTGAACGATAGTGTTGCCATTTCAAAGTGATTGTTTACCAGGAAAAAAAAAAAAAAAAAACATTCTGTGATGGTCATAACATTTAACAGTGGATGATTTGAGCAGTTTCACGTATTGAGTTTAAACTATGTTTTGTGCAGAAAAAAAAAGTGTAACACAAATGCAACTACAAATAGAAGTACAATTAAAACATACACTCAAACCATACCTGCTGGCCAGTTTTCAAAAACATGGTGGGCAATGTCCGTGGCAGAGTCATTCGGAGAGAAAGTGAAATCCTGTGTCTTTCCACTTACAAGGATCAGCCGTAGATTCACCTGTAACCGAGTGAAAGGAGAGAATAAACTAATTTATTTATTCAATTGTGAAGCAGTGCCCTAAAATGCATGCACAGTGGCATTTCAGAACTTAATGACCCTTCAATCTGTGCTCACCCCACAAAACATGAGACGAACTGGAGAGTCCTTAGCTGAAATGGGCATCCCCTCCTAATTAGATTTATCTTCAGCTTTAAGGGTTAAACTAGCTGCTACCCTCTTTAAAGGTTCCTGTGAAATGGTCTGGTGAGTGGGGAAACGCAGGGGAGGAAGTGCTAATGCCTTTCGTTTACATGTAGTGTACCCCCCCCCCCCCTTTCCTAGACACCCCTTCACCCTAATGCGATAACCCCAGGTGTCCCAGACAACCCAGGGCTGAGTTATTAAATTTACATGCCCCATGCATAACCCCTTGCAGGATAAGGGGAGCAGCACGGTGGATTAGCACAATAAATTTGACCCATGCATGAGTCCTATTAAAAATATGCAACAGACAGACACAATGCCTCTACAAGCAGTATTTATAACACAACAAAGGCCAACACACGCTTCATGCTAATGTTCACATAGGTCTACGAGATCCATCATGCCGTCTAAAAAATAAGGATTATTTGATTTTTACTGCCAGCATGTTCAAAGGCTCCATTCTTAGAAATAATTTAAAGCAATTCTCAGAATATGAAAAAAGTAATAATAATAATTATTTTACTAACTTACTATTTTATAATAATAATAGTAATGATGATTGTACTATAATAATTGTAATTCATTTTAAATAAATTCCAGCAATAATAGATACAACAGCTATAAATTCATATTTTTGTTGGAAAACAATAACATACAGTTCCAACCTTACTGATTTGTTAAGCATTTTTAACTCATTCTAACTAATATTTAAAGACTATAAATCTCAAATAATTTCAGCCAATTTTGACTAAATCTTTTCCATGTTAGCCACCTAAACAATTCTACAGTGGTTTCAATTTTATATCAGTTTGCAACAATATCCAATATATCAGAAAAAAAAGAAAGAAAACAAATTAGCTTTGCAATGACAACATGACCTTGATCAACCAACACAAGTTAGTAGTGATATCACCACATTGCCCAATTTAGGAATTTAACATAAATTTGGCAGCATCCTCTTTGAATATAAAAAGCACAATAAGACTCAATGTCTGCACAGAAAAGACACAGAGTGCCACTATATAAACTAATAAAAAAAACTCAGAGCAGGAACTTTGAGATTCCAAAGAGTCTCTTGTTCAGTTTATTTCTTCCAGGGTTTAAACATCCTCTCTCCCCCTGGCTCATGGTTTTCAATGACTGCAATTTAAACATTACATCACCCACACTCAGTGTAGAGAGCTTGGCCGGGCATTAATGCTTTCGTTCAGAATCAGTTGAGGGGCCGGGGGCTGTAAGAAGGTGAGCCAGTTGGCCCTGGCACTGCTGTGTATAAAGGCACATAGGAAAAAGCGCAAAAACGAAGGAAAACTAGCATCATGGAGACACTGCAACCAGTCAGCGGACCAAAACAACTTTCAACATGTTTCTGAGAAAGTGGAAGTGAAAAAGACAATCAGTTCCTCTGAGTTTCAACAGAAGATGTGCGAGTACAAGTTGACTAAATCGGTTTATATTTTCATTTCTTTTGAGTCGAAGACACTAAATTGTAACCAGCTCATCAGCTCGCAATGGGGGGCCCCGAGTTTTCCTTCCACCCCACTGTGACAGCAGCCCAGGTCATGATCTAAATAGTGGAAGCAATTAAATAACATGACAGGAAAAGGACAACCTCTTCCAGCAACAAAAATGTGTTCAACCTCTAGCACCACGTGCCAGCTAAATCCTTACTAAGGGCGGGCCCCCAATGCCCTAACCTAACCTACTGTGAAATCAGGCTCCTGTGCCGAGGGCATTTGCAATGTAGGGCACCCCACCCCCATTCAGACATTCTTGCTTTCACCTATGGGGACCAGCAGTGAGAACAAAAGAGGTCAAACCATGGTGCATGACGTCATGAGACTGTTTACAAACACCAAGCCCCTAATAAAGGCACGGAAAGCCCTTCTCCAGCCTGCTCGGGTGGATTTAGGGTGTTATCAGCAAATCTGTGATGGATAATATAGATGAGAGCGTAACAAACAAATAAGCACTCCCTGCTGCCCCAGTTCTTAAAGCCTTGACAAATACAAAACACCAAATCTGCCTAAATGCCCCAGAAGCAGTAGGCAAACACCTCTATAATCTCACGGCTTATATATTTGTCTGCAGTAACTTCAATCGTGTTGTTTTCATCCCAAAATTCAGAGTTTGGGACACCATACATGGCTACACATCATGTCACTTTCAAATCAAGAGCTTAAAGGCATCAACATTTGCCCCATCCCCAAATAATGGCAATAAAATAACATATCCCAGAAACAAACAGGTTCAGAAAACAAGTAACCTCTAAGCAACAGTAAGACTGAGTGTGTAACATACAAGATTCATTTTGTTATCTCACCCTCAAAGAAAAGTTCAAATTTACAACTTATCTAATGTAAACCCATATTAGGACTAACAAGAAAAGGTAAGTGTTATTTTAGTATTATTTATTTACTATTACAGTATTTTATTTTATAGTTTAACTTATGTGCTTTTGTTATTTTCATTAGTTTTTGTTTTTTAATTTAGCCTTGTTTTGTCTTTTTTTATTTTAGCTTTATTTCAATAAACCAAAGTTAAGTTTACAAAAGTAACTTGGTAGTTTACAATAACACTAACTGTTTTCTTTTAATATAACATTTTTAGGCTTAAAGTCCCCGTGAAATCAAAATTGAACCTATTTACTTTGTTAGCGCATATTACTAGTCTTGTGGTGAACAATTAATCCGTGCAAGTAAAAATATATTAAAAAAATGTTTTACCTTGGTAATCTTTAATCAAAATCTGAAAAGTTACTTCCGGTCTGGAACGGTTTCTTTTTCTGATGACGTAGGCTTCACAGTTTGGGTGGGGAAACGCTTAACCACCCCCCTCAAACCGTTAGTTTACTATGAGCGAGAGATGGAGAGGAGGAGCGCTAGAGTAAAACCCTGCCCTCTGTTCAATATTCCGTTTCACTTGGAAATACGTCACAGCACTGGAGAAAAATCGTTTGCAACTTCCGGTTCACGGGGACTTTAAACTAATAAGGTATTTCACAGACAGAAATGCAATGACGTCTCCCTCTCCACAAATGTTAATGAATATTTTCCACCCCATCTTATAACTTGACAGCCATGGTCACCATGCACTTTCATAGCATGGAAAGGAGCAGCATGAACATTGTACTAAGTAACTTATATTGCATTTAACAGACATAAAATCATCTCTGTGGGGCAACAAGGTAAAAGTAGATGACAAAAATGTACATATTTCAGTGAACTCCGCACCTATAATTAAGATTTGAATGCATTCTAAAAATGACACCTGATGCTTCATCATATTGATATTGTGTAATGGTGCATGATGTAAAGAGAGATCTGGCCTGATATACTCACTGTGTCGGGGTCTCTCTCAGAGGTCATGGCTGTGATCAGAGGTGGAGGGCAGCCAGGAATCGATGGTTGACCAGCACTGAGAGGGCAGCACAACCCCTGGCACAAAGACTCAGTATGTGTCTTCTCCCTCTGGCCTTTCACTGCCTCGCACAGCCTAACACCAAGTCAGTTATTCACAACATGCCACACGGATTTGTTTACTATACACAGTCCAGTGGTCAAACCAGCATTACCACGAGATGATTAATTATATCTTTAAGTGACATACTTTACTAAGACAAAATGCAGGGCAAAGTATTACAACATACGGGTGATGAGATGACAAGACTAAACACCAGACAAACACTAACTCACGAGATCCTGGTGAATGTTTAGCAAGCAAGTTAACTGCTAGGTAAGTTAGTACTCTAAGTGACCCGAAATATTTGATTAATGGATCACCTAAACAATATACAACCATATAAACAATACACTGTATAACGTTACGGCTTATAAACAGATAACGTTAGACGTTTAACAGCGCGTGTGTAATTTAGGGAAATGCAGCTAAAACAAACGTCACATACCTTTGCTCTATTTGACGTGAAGCCAAACTGTTGTTTGTATTACTGGATCAGCATTATATATCAGCTTGAATCCGTGTTAGGAATCCAGACCTGCCTGTGAATCAGACACCAAACCAGGATGAGCTCGACTGCTGATCGGGAAAAAAATGTAACTTAGTCCAAAATTAAAGACACATCAAAACGATGATACACGAACCATTAAAGAAGAGAGATGTCTCGATTGTGATGCGAGAGATGAGAAATGTTGTATATGAGCAGAGAAAGTGCGCGCGACCGCTGGCCTTGAGCTGCTGGAATAATTTTGACTGCGGCAAAATAAAGAGGAACTAAAACGACCGCTTTGATCGAGTAACAGACGCCTATCAAATCCGGCGCGGTCGTTTGACGGTCCAGTGCTTTCGTGGTATATTAACTGATGGGTATATCCATCGTTCTAATCAGATCAGATGTAGCCAAAATCACTCGCAGCTTTCGATCAGATTAATGGCTGAGAATTTAAAGACACCGGAAGTCAGCTGGCCATATATGCAGGAAACTGAGCACAAGGCTTTCTGGGACTTGTGGTTTTAAGGTAGCTCTCCATTTTGTTCTCACCTTGCAGAATGGCAGTCATTTCACATGCTGTGTGATGGAATGCGATGTGTTCTCTCTCTCTCTCTTTTATTTCTAAATAATCTTAAATATGTTTAAACGATCTCTTATGCCATTATGCTAAACATTATAGTAAACTCAACATTTGGCATACATACTGACTTAATTGGAATATAAAATTCCTTATAGAATTGAATTGTTTTCACAGATACACACTCAATTCTTCAACTGAATGACAATACTTCAGATATTTATTTGATAACAGCATAGCACATAATAAAGGCACATTGAATAGGCTCTTTACATTGGAATAATTAAAGCTGAAGAATGTAATTGTTTCAGCGTCACAATACTTTCTCATAATATGCAGAGATAATTTAAAGTAAGGATTTGTTTTCCCATTTACCCAAAAAAGTGTAAATACTGCAGATCTATGTAGCCATCAAAAGACATTCCTCTGTTTAAACATTTCAACCAAGGGTGCGTTTACCTAAAGTATGGTCACAAATTCCATTGAATTGTGTTGGTAATGACGGAACTTGCAACCATACATTGTGTCAGCAATTTAAGTTTTACAATACAGTAAACAGTGACGCCTTTTCAATTACAGTAGCAATACAATACAGTTATTCTGTCATGATGTAAATTTGATGTAAAACAGCTTTGAAAGAGTGAGAAACAGCTAGTCACAACACTGAGCCATGTAAAACCATCATGAAGGCAGTGTCTGTTCAAAGGTAATACAACCGACTAATCATAACTTTGTAAGAAAAGATATGATTTTTTAATAAACTGGAGGAAAAAGTCCCAGCAGCATTGTGTAAACATTAACTGTAAAACAGGCTTTAAAGTCACAATATTTGTAGCAAATTGTAATAACTTTCGAAAAATATACTGTACAAACAACTGTGTAGTGTAAAGAACCATACACCATTCTTTCCATGTCAATAAAATATACAGTATCAAAACAACAAATGAAAAAGCCACTAAATTCACAAAGCTTCATAATCTCCACTTTCAGATCAACTTTTCCTTTAAGAAAAAAAGCATTTACAAGGCAATGTTTTTACAAAAAACATGAAAATGGCATAAAAAAATGTTATCTTAAGAAGATAACTAAAATGGCAAAAATATGCATGACAAATAAGAGTATTTAGAGGCTGACGCTCAATTTGAAAAATTACAAATTTATCACACAAGTAAAAAACAAAAACTATTTCAGAAAATAAGACAATTAAGTAATGTCTGGTTTAGCTATTTAGCACATTTAAGACAATGAGGTTTTCCTATTTTACATCCCAAATATATATACTGTCAAAAAAAATTGTTACTGAAAAAAATTACAGTACCATCAACAATAAATATATTTTCCTCCTACCGGTACATACATTTACAAAAATGTACAAGAATATACTTTTACAAATAGAAATCTACTAATAAAATCCAATATAATTCATGTATCACTTTTTCAATCATATCAAGTTTATAAAATTAAGTACTATAAGGACGTTTTGAGTTCAAAACAATAAAGCACATCATATTTTACCAAATACAATACACTTCCTAATTATCTCTGGTCCAATAAACATATTTTGGTTCTGTTTACACTGTATACAAATCCGAATTGTCTTTATATATAAATTTAGGACTGAGTGTGCTCACTGTGATTTTGCAAGGTATGAATTCTGATCCGTTTACTTACAGTAGATAGGTTAGAAAATACCTACACTGGTTGCTATAGTAATGATGCAAATGCTAGCATAATACAAAGAGACTCATACAACACCTGTTGGAAAGAGAGGACAGACCAGTTTCAATTTTTCCATCTTGCCACAGTGCACACTCATGAGGCACAATAGAGAATCCTTGTGCAATTAGTCACATTCACTAGTGAATGTCAGTGTGCTATAAGAGGAAATGTTTGAGTTTAGACATGAAGGATGTTAAAGGGTTAGTTCACCCAAAAATGAAAATTATGTCCGTATTTACTCACCCTCATGTTGTTCCAAACCCGTAAGACCTTTGTTTCTCTTCGGAACACAAATTAAGATATTTTTGATAAAATCTGAGAGCTGGATCACTCCTGCATAGTCAATAGGATTCTTGAGGGATTGAAACTTGCCGGCCTCTAAAAGTTATTAAAGACATTGTTAAAATAGTCCAAGTGACGACAGTGGCTCAATCTTAAGTTTATCAAACAACGAGAACACTTTTTGTACGCAAAAACAACAACAAAAATAACGACTTTATTTCAACTATTCATTTACTTCTCTCTCTGCCTTGAGTCAGGTTACTAGTTTAAGAGCGTAAGCTTCTGTTTTTGTACATGACACTCATCACGCACATGACCGGCGTCGGCCAATAGTGAGCCTACGTGTGACGTAGCTATACGCTATCACACTACTTTAACTGACTAGAGGCCCAGAGAAGGAAGTGAACAGTTGAAATGAAGTTGTTTTTTTTATTTGTTTTTGCGCACAAAAAGTTTTCTCGTCGCTTGATAAAGTTAAGATTGGACTATTTTTAATGATGTCTTTAATGACTTTTCGAGGACGGCAAGTTTCAATCCCTCAAAAAGCCAATGGACTAGTATGGAGGAGTGATCCAGCTCTCGGATTTCATCAAAAATATCTTTATTTGTGTTCCGAAGATGAACAAAGGTCTTACGGGGTTGGAACAACATGAGGGTGAGTAAATACGGATATAATTTTCATTTTTGGGTGAACTAACCCTTTAAATACATGTTGCATCATGAATTAGGAAAAAAAAACTACGCCCAATGAGATATTTACTGCCAGTCTGAACAAAGAGTCATGCTGAAATATTAATTATGAATGAGAGGAGTCACCATGACCAGAGAACACCCACAGGCAGAGACACCCAGTTCACAAATGAAACAGTTCTGGTCCATCTCTGAATTGGTACCAGAAAAAAAAACATGTGCATACAAAGTACATGTAGGACTTGACCATAGTCTTGTCTAGACATACATAAGTAACACTTTCACTGTACCATTATGCACTGACACAAAGGTAAACTAGTAGGAAATACAGTTTACCTATTAAATAAAATTGATCTCTCTTCGATGCATACTTCAGAAAAATGATTTGGTACAAACATGAAACTGACTGCATTTTACAAAAGTGGTTGTGACGTAGCTGCCATACCAATCTAGTTTGCTCTTCTTAAGGAGTGGGCCCCTGATGTTCCCCGTCATCTTCTGCCAGGTAGATTGGCTTCTTTCCTTGAAAAATGGGCTCAGTTTTTTTACCCTCGGAGCTGTTCCATATTCCATACGCAAAATAAATAAGAAAACCTAAAAGAGACATGCAATGAAGTCAAACTTTGAATAAAAACTGACAAAATATCCATGTTAGTGTTCAATTACAATACCATTCAAAATGTTGGGGTCGGTAAGATTTTTAAGTTTTTGAGAGACGTCCCTTTGCTCAACAAGACTGCATTTATTTATTGAGAAAGAGTAAAAACAGTAATATTGAAAAACATTTTTACAATTTAAAACAACTGTTTTCTATTTGAATTTATGTTAAAATGTGATTAATTAATGTGATGACAAAGCTGAATTTTCTCATTTCTTATTATCAATGCTGAAAACAGTAGAGCTGCTTAATGTTTTTGTGGAAACCGTGAACTTTTTTTTTTTCAGGATTTGATGAATAGAAAATTCAAAAGAACAGCATTTATTTGAAAATGACTTCTTTTGTTACATTTATAAATCTCTCCACTGTCACTTTTGATTAATTTAATGCATCCATCCTGAATAAAAGTTTTCTTTTCTGTCTTACTGACTCCACACTTTTGAATGTCAATGATTTGATATGCCATAACTCACCAAAAGCCATCCATATTGCGAAACGAGCCCATGTAGGTCCATCTAATTGCATCATGAGGTAAATGTTTACAAAGATACTGACCAAAGGCAGAATGGGGAGCAATGGCACCTATAAAATATAGGCAGAGGAGTATTATAAACACCTTAGCATCTGACACTCTCATTTTTTCAAGCACAAAGGGAATAAATCAGCTTTGTTAATGTAAGTCTCTGTACCTTGAAACTGAGAACCTCTTTACTCTGGGGCTGTCGCCAGATGATGATGATGCAGACGGAAGATAGAACAGACAGGAAAACAACCAAAGTGATATAAAGAGGGTTGCCCATCCCCAACTGCTGAATATACACTGACAGCACCACACACAGTATAGTGAACAGCACAGCTGAAGAGCAAAAGAGAAGGTGGTTATCCGCCTGTTTACTTTATGAGCAACACAATTATTAATTTACATTTCCCTGAGCTTAACTTTACAGCTACAAGTTGCAGCAAAAATGCTATCATAAAGGGGACCAGTGCAAATGCTTACATATGGTGCCAGTGGCAGAGTAAACAATGATGCCCGAAATCTTGGTGGGTACGTCACGGATAGGTTGCACCAGCATCCAGATGGAAAACCTCTCGTTGAGGGGCGTTGTCTCCAGCTCCTGGCTGTACTCATCCCCACTATCCACATCTGCCATGGCTCCTTTAGCCTCCAGCCTCTGTAGTTCCATTGGCTTCTCATCCATAGCCCTGGAGCCAAGGCTGCCTGGTTGGTACCTGAAGATTTAATAATAAATAAATTAGACACATTTTTAAAGAGCATCTTCATCAAGATTACAAAAAAAAAAAAGAAGCCCAACAAGGCTGCATTTATTTCATTAAAAATATAGTAAAACAGCTGTTCTGGTTAATATATTTTTGTGGAAACTATGAAACATTTTTTTCAGAAACATCTGATGAATTGAATGTTATATTTCTTTCACTTTTAAATGGTAATTTAAGTATATGCCATTGCCTACCTGAGAATGAGTACACAGACAGCAACCAGAGTGTATGCCAGAAGGGTCCCAATTGACATCA